TCATCCAACGTTTCTATCTGGACTTCGTTTTTTCCTGGTCCATTTTTTACATTTTATTAATATGTTTACATGTAATGTTATCTGAAGTACTCCTATCGTTTCCAAAGAGATTATCGAAATTTTGTGTTTAGTTTTGGTACTTTTCAGCTTAGCTTGATGAACTTCTACTGCGGACTTTTTAATCTGTCTCCATGTATTTTCAGTGTCGTCTTCATTTAACGTTTGATGAATGATACCCAATCTTGAATTTAATTCTTCTCGCACTTCTATTCTTATTGCTGAAACTAAAAGCTTTCTTGTATCTATAGTTTGTATGGCCTGAGATTTTCTGATCTTTTTTAATTTCAGTTTCAATGTACCAGCCAACAATGAATGATCTGTGAATACATCTGCGCCTGGGTTCGCCTTTATCATTTTGTATGGTATTCCTGAACCTTTTGTTATTAATGACGAAATCCATGTATATAGACGCCGTGAGGGTTGCTTAAAATGTGTATTTGCAATAATTAAGTCGTTTTCCTGACAAAACTTTATCAATCGATCTCCTCGATAATTCCCTACTATTACCTCTCTTCGACCTTTTCATACTTTTGCATTAAGGTCACCCATAATTATATTAACTTTCGAGGGTATGGTTAAGTCCGTCGTCATAAAAAACTTCTAATTCATCATCAGAACCGTGACACGTCGGAGCATGAACCTATATAAAATTGGTATAGGCGATGTATTGAACTGTAACACGCAAACTCTGTCAGGTATGGATATGAAATTCTTGACGGATCTGCTTATGTTACTCTCCACCACCTCGCTCATACCCTGATCTTTCTTTTCATCTTTTTGATTGTTTTATGTGTTTTACAGTTACTTCTGCATGTCAGGTGTTTTATCACATCAACAATCTGAATTTTATCCCTACAGCGGCAGTTATTTTTACCGTGGCATTCCCTGTCGAGCGACTTCTTACGGAAAACTTTTTCTTTTATCCCAATTTGTACTGAGCATAATAAGATCAATCTATTTTTAACTTTATATTTCTCATTTCATAGTGGTATTATAGTTTTAAGCTGAATCCAGCATTTAGAATTAAAAATGGCGGTTGTATCACCGCACTAGGAGATGCAGAATGCACTTTTTACAAAATCAAACAGGTCGTTTATATATATATATATATATATATATATATATATATATATATATATATATATATATATATATATATATATATATATATATATATATATATATATATATATATATATATATATATATATAGGAGATTGGTCCAATAACCTTGGGGTACTCCAACTCGACTTTGCTGCACCTCCAACTGCTGAATTTTGTCACCCAAATAATTCTAGAATCAATCAATCAATAAACTACTCCAGATTCAGCCGTCGACAGAGATTCAACTTGATTTCTGTGCAAAGTGTTTTTTTATAATTCCAAATTTCAACAGTATTTCAAATGCTTTTGCTACATTAGATATTAAGGAGATTGGATGATAGTTAGTAGCTAGTTTCTCATGAGATTTGTCCAAGGAACCATTACTTGTTATTTTAATACTTGAAAGGCATGTTGTGAATATTCTATTCATGATATGGATTATATTACATTATTATATATACATATTATAATATATAGTTGTAAAATATTTTAAAAATAGCTGGGAGGTCGTCTATCCCATGTGCTTTCCATGTTTTCGTGACAACTGTGTTTTTAATTCGTTCTCATTAAGTGGAGTAAAAAACAATGAAGATTTAACCCTGGTATTTTCTTAATTTCGCAAGTATTCATTCATCTGTTTATCGCTGGTTTTCGGAGTTCAGTCGTGGTCGTAGTTTTCTTAAGGATGAATTTTGTCCAAAATCGGTGGTTGTCCAGCAGGACGTTGATGCAGTGCGGAAACTGATTTTGCAGGATCGTCATCATCACGAGATCGAGATATCTTTGGGCATTAGTGGGACCAGCATACATACAATTTTGCATTTGGCGGCTAAATAAATTTGTTCGCGTTGGATTCCACACAATTTGACATCAGCTCAAAAAAGGCTCGTGTTGATTGGTCGAAGGAAATGCTAAAAAAATACAATCGCGGTGCTTCCAAACACGTGGGTGGAAAACAAACAAATCCCACAAAAGTTGTTCGTGCGCGAAGGACCTCGAAGCTGGAAAACTGGCCACGTCGCAACCGTTTCTTTGTTGAAAGGTAAAACAGTCAATTTTAAATGGTACACAACAATTTGTTTGTCAAAAGTCTTCGAAGAAATTCGAAAAACTAACCGCCGAAGACGAATCACCCTAATGACTTCTTTTTATTCCCATACGTTGAGAATAAATTACGTAGGCAACGATTTTTGACACCAGAAGAAGCGATTGATGCGTTTAGAAAGCATGTTTTGGAGGTGCCCGAATCGAAGTGGGAAAAGTGCTTTGATGATTGGTTTTATCGAATTCAAAAGTGTATTGATCATCAGGGTGAATATTTTGAGAAACAAGAAAGTCATATTTGTTGGTAGCTCATAATTTTTTATTACAAATCCCGTAATATAAAAGGTAGCCCTCGTATTTGTACTTTTCTTTAAAATACTTTACAGCGATATTCCGGCATCATTTTCGGGATATCAAAGCATGCAAACTGAATAAAACGGCAGTTTAAAAGACAGCATTAGGGTTTTTCTTACTTGTAAATAAAACAATGTTTCGAAATCAATTCTAATGAAATTAAAAATTTATATAATGGTACTACACTACACTTGCAGTGCATCCTTGTAAAAATTTTCTTATGAATTTTTTCGTATCTTTGTGTATCGGAATACTGTTCTATTTCTCATTACATTTTCTGAAAAAGACGGCAAACATGGGGTTAACAGTTAACGTTAGACCTTTTTAGCACGTCTTGATTTTATTTCTTTTATATTCTAGACTTTATTTTTTAATATTTCATGGAATATTAAGGAATTCTTAATTTATAGGTACTTAATGAAATTAATTACATAATATCGTCTTGTTTTATCAAAAGTAAAATTCCAAATTTTCGTTTTGAATTGTCGCTGGTATTAGTCGCCTTCGATATAACTTAAGCGTTAAAAACATGTCCTTATAAATATAGGAGATACCACGTGCTGATCCTTTGTGTTTTATCTCGTGAAATTGACCGAATTTCAACAAAAACATAATATATCCATTGGTGTTGAAGCTTGGCCACAAATTAATACCTCCCAATATAAGGGGTGTTTTTTTTCGATGTATAGAACTTTAAGTTGCAATAAAACAACGATGGATTATTCGATTGACATGAATTTTGTTTATCCGAAAGATAATCTTGTGTCATTACATTTTAAATATGATTTCTGGCATATGACCGCCACGGCTGGCGCGGATGTAGTCCAATCTGGACGTCCAATTTTCGATCACTTTTTCCAACATTTGTGGCCGTTGTCTTCCAAATGATCAAGCGTTTGTGGCTTATCCGCATAGACCAATGATTTTACATAGCCCCACAGAAAGTAGTCTCCGGTGTTAAATCACAAGATCTTGGAGGCCAATTCACAGGTCCAAAACGTGAAATTAGGCGGTCACCAAACGTGTCTTTCAATAAATCGATTGTGGCACGAGCTGTGTAACATGTTACGCCGTCTTGTTGAAACCACATCTCCTGGACACCATGGTTATTCAATTCAGGAATGAAAGAGTTAGTAATCATAGCTGTATACCGATCACCATTGACTGTAACGTTCTGGCCATCATCGTTTTTGAAGAAGTACGGACCAATAATTCCACCAGCCCATAAAGCGCACCAAACAGTCAGTTTTTCTGGATGTAACAGTGTTTCGACATACAGTTGAGGATTAGCTTCGCTCCAAATGCGGCAGTTTTGTTTGTTGACGTAGCCATTCAACCAGAAGTGCGCTTCATCGCTAAACAAAATTCGCTTATGAAAATCGGGAACAACGGCAATCTCGTTTTGGGCCCATCAACTTGATGATCTTTAGCTTCAATTCTTGCACGAGTTGGATTTTGTAAGCACGTAAACCAAGATCCTTCCGCAAAATCTTCCATAAAGTGGATGGACACAGATCCAATTCCTGTGCAAGATGGCGGATGGACTCATTCGGGTCTTCCTCGATGCTACGCTTTACAGCAGCAATAGCTTCTTCTGTACGCACCGTACGGCGTCTCTGTGGATGCGAGTTATCAATAAGAGTAAACGTGGTGCGAAAACATTCCATGATTAATCGAATAACTGCTCTGATGGACGATTTTGTCGTCGATAAAATGGACGTAGTGCGCGATACGTATTCCGCACCGAACCATTATTTTCGAAATAAAATTGCACTATTTACAAGCGTTGTTCAGGCGTGATATTCATGTTCATGATGAATTGCCAAACCAAACTCAGAATAAATCACGGTTACCATCTTGAACAGTAATGCCAACTTAAAGTTCTATACATCGAAAAAGAAAACACCCATTATAAATTGAGTTCCGGTCAAGCGTAAATAGCTTACCAGTCTTCAATTAAATTGGAATAGGTAAAAGTAAGATATTAAATACATATAAAGATCTAGCTGCATATCTGCTATAGTATTTTTACTTAAACGAAATTAATTTTTATCTATATCTGTTGTACATTATTCCAAATGGCATTATTATGGCAGTTTTTCATGCTTTACATAATAAAAAATTCTAAGTCGAAATCAGTTAAAAAGATGCGCATTATGTAGATGACCTTTCATTCCATCTGTGCTAAATGACGTATCAATGGTTAAAAAAATATGTCGCGATATTCGATGAATTGGTCAAAAAATAGAAAATCCCTCATTTAGTCAAAAAATTTTCGCCGCTTTTCGTTCTTCTGTTTTCCTTATTTAGGTACTGAAAACATAATTTGCAAATTGAATATTACTGACGTTTTTTTTTCAGTGGTGAAATTGTTTATTTAAACTCGCTTTGTTTCAATTTTGCCCGCAATTACATCTGCAATGGTCTTTTTGTTTCAGGATTTGGCGATGGGGTACAAAGTAGTTGGCGAATCATTCGAAACGTCCGTTCCTTGGGACAGAGTGCTAACTCTAGTCGCAAACGTAAAAACTGTCGTTGCACAAGAATGTCGCAAGCAAGGCATCACGTATTACGTTTTCAACGCCAGAGTCACGCAAACTTACGACGCTGGTTGCGTTGTTTACTTTTACTTGGGATTTAACTACAGCAATATTACTGATCCCGTCCACGTTCATCACACCATCGAAGAAAAAGCTAGGGACGAGATAGTTAATTGTGGCGGCAGCATATCCCATCATCACGGAGTGGGTAAGCTGAGGACTAAATGGTACCCGGGTACCATATCAAAGGTCGGTGTTAATTTGTATCTCGCCGCGAAGAAAGAACTGGATCCGAAGAATATTTTCGCAACTAACAATTTAGTTAGTAGTATACCCAAAGCTAAGTTATAAAAAAGTGCGGAAATACGAAAGCTCGAGCAACACTTTAGAATAATTTTGTCACTTTACTTTTCCACGGTAATACCAAAGCGACTTTCATTTAGTATTTTGTTTCTATAAATCAAGTGCGAACTTATGCGTTCGTCTTTGTGTGGCCATTTACCAAAAAAGAAATAGGTTTAGGTTTGCTGTTTGTAACGTGCGTTGTTCGTCGTATTGTTTTCAATAAAATTGATTTAATGTTGATGTTTTTTTATCCTTTCCATTCCACTCCACTCCACTTCAGTACTGTAAGTTGGGCATTTTGATCCTCAATCTATAGCTGTTATATTGTGATAAATTCTATCAGTTTCGAAAAAATGTTTTTAATTAAATGACGCTTTGTTGGAAGCTGGGCCCATATGGTATTTAGTGCTTTAACTTATGAAAAAAATTCACAATGGCAACTGAATTAGAAAAGAACACGCCGTTGGGATCACAAATCAACATCAAGATTTAGACTCATCGGCAAGTTTTCTTGGTCGGTTAAGTGTTTCATAACTTGGTTCAGAGGAAGTTGCTGTTAAATCTCATCAGCAGAAACATAACTCCTGTCAAAACGAAATTATGCCTAACCTGATTACAAATTTCATTACCTGGTTCAGCCAAACCTGATTGGGTTAGCTCAAGTCACCGGTCTTGATAGCGGCGAGGATCAAGAAACGCTGTTCTATTCTTCTGGGTCATGATCGTCTGTTGTCTGTGTTTCATAAAATAGTTATCAAAATATTCTGCTGTTGAGTGTATGATCCCACAATTATGACCATTTCAGTACGGCACTAATACATTGATATATTTGTGCATAGGAGTTTTCACTGTAGACCCAACAAACGATTACTGTGAGCTTCAATCTATGACGTTTCATCCATATGTAGGATGGGTGAACTATGAGCGTATAGACGGTAAAATTTTGTCTGTGGTTTCATAAAAATTTGATACCCCTAAAACGAATTTATCGGATGCACTAGTGCATTTTCGTGTAACAAACGAACATATTTATCCACTTTTATGGATATTTTATTCAAATTTTTAAAGTACCGTACCTCCTACTTTAACTGAATTTCACTTTCTTCAAGAAGCGTTATAATAATTACAATTACAAGCAACAAGACCCAGGAAGAAGGTGGCTGAGTGAGCTGAAATTAGTTTAATAGAGATTCAGAATGATATGGATACTTCTTGCTCTATAGATCAATGTTTTGCATTATTCGGCAAAAACAGACAGTGATAGAGAACGTATCGCTTAAGGGCTGGCCGTTCGGGGTAGGGAACTGACAATTTCCTGGGTCGCACGTTACACGTCACCTTATTTAATCGCCAAATGACTCTTAATTGGGCCCTAAACGGGTAAATTGATAAATTGATAGCCGAAATTGGAGTGCATCCCCGGTCAGCTAGTCGGTGCAGCGTTATCGAGACATCGAGACAAGAAATCGATCTCGGACGAGAAGCGTCCCTTTATAGTCCGGATGACTGATTAAGATAAAGGAAGGGCTATTATTAGAATGTCGAACGGATTAAATCCGACAGTTGGCACCTCGCGTTATCGGAATTGACTTCAAAGCTTTTGACAGCACATCGTCCTTTGTGAAAGCCGAAGACTACTTGGTATAGGAAATTTCAAGATATTCCGTGTGTCATGTAATATGCAAGAATCTCAGTATATGCTGTTGAATACGTCCAATAACCGTGTATTTGTCAGTAAAAGAATTTATTTTTATTTGCTTAGAGCTATTTAGCTTTATTGCCTTGGGTGTATCGAACACATCGTTCGGTAATATAAAGGATATAGAAGGCCTATGAGAAGCTGGGATGTCCTTTCGGAAATTGAAAACAATTTTCATTCGGAATGCCACAATAGTGATGTGATGTTGGGTAGGACATAATCATAATCATAATCGACATAAGTGCGGGTGAATGAGAATTAGCTCTTATTTATAATCCCTTCGACTGATATTGTTCTTAACTTATCAGAACACAAACATGAACGCCTATATTAATAACATGTTATAATAGGAAAACCTATCACAGGCATCTGCCACGAAGATTCACCGAATTTCGAAACTTACGCGGAGGCGCATCTCACTACTGACCTTTTAAGAAGACATTTCAATAAAATGATTTGAAAACGTGCTCGATTATTATTCATATTTGTCCTAACAACTTCCCAAAATATTTACTGGGTATTGCAGTTTCTATTACATATTTTGAAATGTTTTCAATAAAAGTACCAGCCGTTCTTTATTAGTTATTACAATATTGATTATAGCATTCGCGACTGTAGTAATTTTGATAAGTAGGTAACATAAATGTACTGATATTTTCATTGATACAAACATACAGGAATCATTTAAAGGAAAGTCTAGTTTTGAGAAATTGAAATACAGGTATGCAAACTATGGCGTAATAAACGTAGAGCTGTCACGTATTCCGTGGTTGGATCTTTTTAAAGACTTGAAAGTTGAGGACTGTGTACATATTTTCTATGAAAGGGTTTACGGCGTGGTCACGGATAGTGTTCCGAAGAAAAAAGTAAATAATAAATTTCCTACTTGGTACATTCCAAGTACGAGAGCGCTTATTAAAGAAAAATATAAACTACACCAAAGATGGAAAAAGTACAACAATCCTGTTGATTATGTCATATTCTCTAATTTGAGAAGGAAGGTCAGAGCTGCAATAAGCACAGACTACAAAAACTATGTTAAAAACACTGAAAGTAATCTGAAAGATAATGTGAAATCATTCTGGAGCTTTGTAAATAATAAAAAAAAAATCAAATAACATACCAAAATCAGTAACGTATCAAAATCGTAGTTTTTATACTAATGCAGATATCTGTGCAGCATTCTCTGATTTTTTTTCGAGTGTCTATGAACCTGATACAACTCCTTCGAGAATTCCGTTGTTAGAACCGCCATGTGACACTGCTGTTTTAAATTTCATATCCGAGGACCAAATCAGGATCCAGCTAAGTAAGCTTGATATAAATAAAGGCCCTGGACCTGATAACCTACCCCCTATATTATTCAAATCATGTGCTGAATCTTTAGTGCAGCCACTTTTTATTATTTACAATAAAAGTTTATCTGAAGGGTAGTTTCCAACTATTTGGAAGTGTGCCAAAATAATACCTGTGCACAAGAGTGGCAGCAAGGTTGACGTCACAAACTACCGACCTATATCTATTCTTTCCGTTCCAGGGAAAATGCTGGAAGCTATAATTACCAATGAGTTATTTTTCAAATTAAAACATACTCTTGGAGATACACAACATGGTTTTTTTAGGGGTAGGTCGGTTGCTACCAATCTTTCACTATATGTCCAGGATGTTTCTGAGGCGTTAGATAATAGGGTGCAGATAAATGCCGTGTACACCGACTTCTCAAAAGCTTTTGATAAGGTTCACCACCCAACAATGTTGATCAAATTAAAAAATTTCGGTGTACATGGTTGTCTTTATAAAATTCTTCAATCCTACATCAGTCCTCGGACTCAGTTTGTAGAATTGAATTCTGCAAAATTCCAAACGACCCGCATCACATCTGGAATTCCTCAAGGGTCCCATTTGGGACCATTGTTATTTTCACTGTTTATCGCAGATGTCAGTAAATGTTTTCTTTTTGCTAAATCAGCATCATACGCAGATGATCAGAAATCATACGCGCCCGTGAAAAGTCTTAACGACTGTCATAAGTTTCAAGAAGATCTTGATCGTTTTTATGAATACTGTGTAAAAAATCGTCTATTTTTAAATATTGATAAATGTTACTGTCTTAAGTTCAGCATGCGGATAAATGATATAAACTTTGACTACACATTCAATGGTGTAAAAATAAAAAAAGTAGAGCAGATTAGGGATCTTGGAATAACTATAGATGTAAAATTAAGTTTTGATATCCACATTGAGAATATAGTAAAAAAAGGTTATAAAAATTTAGGTTTTATATTAAGAGTTAGCAAGGAATTTCAGGATCACAAATCGCTTATTATTCTATGCAATTCCTACGTTCGATCTCACCTTGACTATGGCGGTGTGATATGGAGTCCTCAGTATCATAAATATATAGACAGAATCGAGAGAATACAAAAAAAGTTTGTTTTCCATTTAAATCTTAGATTTAACCGTAACTTACTAACTCATTCGTATGAAGCTAGTCTTAATTTCTACCATATACTGAAGTTATCTGTTAGAAGAATTATCTCCAGTGCTATATTTTTGCATAATATTATTAATAGTAGGATTGACTGTCCTTTACTGTTGGAAAAACTATCCTTCAATGCCAGAGTCGTTATAACAAGAACTCCTTCATTATTTTACGTGCCTAGATTTAATACAAACTTAGGTAACAATTCCCCAATATCTCTTTTACATAGACATTACAATGATTATTTTTCGCACATTGACATCTTTGCGTTATGACTTAATTCGTTTCGAAATCAAGCAATTAGGGTTTTTCTATAAATTTATTTTAATTTTTAATTTATTTTAATTTTTGATTTGTTTTCCTTATTTTTTCACATTTGTTTTTTGTAATTCACGCACTTAATATACAGTGTTAGTTTTGGTTTAGTTTGGTAAGTTTGATTGTTTTTTTTTTTTTTATCTTCTGCTTATCGTAGATATAGGTAGGTACTTACTTATAAGTTTTACTTTGTTAATTAAATAATGGTATAATTGTTAGTGTGTCCTTGTAAATTGTGAAGTTAGTTCTTCATGTTAGGGCACCTTTGTAATAAATAAATAAATAAATAAATAAATAAATAAAGATCAAAGATAATATAGGTCTGATTTTAAATTTAAATACCAATACATTACATTAAATAGCAGCATGGTGACAGCATGTTGGAAGGTAAAATGTCACACAAGAAGGGTGTTTTCACTTAGCCTAGACACTTATTATGAACCGGTGCAAAATTCAATAACCAATGTTCCATTCGCAAACGTTCCTCGTTTCTCCGTTTTATGGAGAAATTGGTCGTTCGGTGGCAGATCGAAAAGTGTAATTCACAAGTAGATTAATACGTTTTATTGTTTTAATTTTAGGTTGAAGCAAAATTTCTTTGATATATTCGAATTGAAAGTATTACATAACTGTGTGATTTTTAGCAAGCCATATCCAAAATGACCCGCTTTCCCGTTAATCAGCGGCGTCGCCAGACAATACAACATAAAGTATTTGTATTTTATAACATCCAGCAACC